CCCCAAAACCCCAAAACCCCAAAACCCCAAAACCCCAAAAGATATTATTTAAGAGTAATTTCATAAAAATTATCAGCATCCATCCATTGGAACACAGGAGTGGTGGTGGATGTTTAGAAGATCCATGATATGAGTCTCAATGGAATTATCTTGGCAAATAACAGTCTTCTTGAAGTAATCCGCTTCAGCAATAAGCTCCTGGTCTCAATCGTAAATTTCGATGATATTATTCTCATTAATCTTGATTTCTTCACAATGCTCTCTTAAAATCTTCTGGAAAACCTTGAATTGCTCAACAGAGTGCTTCTTCTCTTTACGGTGATTGACCATACTTTTGACCATGTTAGCTGGAGGGTTGTTGGCTATATAATAAACAAATACACACTTACATAATTGGATAGCTAGAAGTCCGATAGCGTCAGTGATAAGGTCACATTTAGGACTGCTATTCCAAGATAGTTCCAAACATTCTGCTTTTCTTCTATACACCACATCAATTCCCTCGATCTTCAAAATAATATCATTTTCAAGATCTTCAAGATTCCCGCTAAGGAGTTCTACTGAGTCAAAGAGGTCTCTTGAAGCTTCGATTAAGAATTCAGGGTCATATTTATAAGGGATAACCTGCTGCTGCGATACAAAATTCTTTGAAAGAGAGGTAAATTCGTTAATCTCTGTCTCGTCAATAATCATATTTTCAAGCTTGTTTTCGACAAAAAGTCCCTCAATAGTGACCATGTTGTCATTGAACTCCTTCATGATTGCGTCTTCTTCTATCTGCTGGGATTTCATCTCTTCAGGATTTCTTGCTTCATGATCAATTTGAAGCATTTTGTTATCAATCTTGTTCTCTTCTTGGGAAAGATTCTTGGTGATACTTTCAAATGTATCTATAGTCTGAGACAATAAGCCTTACCTCTGTTAATCTTAAATCCTCCATCTGTGTTAAGGAAGTTATCAAAAGTGTCTTTAGCTTTCCCAAGCATTTTGGATGACTTATCTGTAACAAAGCTAAATTTCACAGGCTGGCAGTTCCTTGGAGCCAGTACATTGATCTCTTCTTTGTAGATTATATCAAGCTCCTTCTTAAGTTTTGCCATTTCATTCTGATCACCGTGAACCAAGACCTACAGATTAGGATTAATTGCTTACGATATTTGGAGGTTTTATCTCTTTGATGAAGTGGGATGTTTGTTTGAAATCGCAATGAGCAGAGAAACTGATCACCTCAACTGTCATATTCAGTTTGAGCGTTTTGTTTTTATCCCCAATCTTAATTTCACTTGGTTTGTTCATAACTTGCTTAGCCAAAGTTCCTTCAACACTGTATCCAGTGAAAATGATGCCGTTTTTCTCATCTTCACACCACTCCTCAAATAGATCTCTTGAGAGACCATTTTGGAGCATTCCTGGTGTAGCCATAATCACTAAAGGTTTCTTCTCTGTGTAATTTTGACTGTCTTCAAAATGGAATGGATTTTCTCCTTGGTCAATCTATAGTTGATTACTAAATAGCTTACCTTCTTCCTAGCAACTTCACCCATCATATTCCTGTAAGTTCTGAAGACACTGAGACTTTTCTGTGCAAGAGATCCTGCATAATAAATCGGAACATCTTTCAACTCCTCATGTTCTTTCCAATATTCATTTAGAATGAGAAGTAGTTCTTGAGCACGCCCAAGTGCAAAACATGGAAGTAGTCATCTTCCGCCTTTGTTAATAATATCATGAACTCTGTATTTAAACTTGTCCTCTCTCATTTGTCTTGGCTCATGGATATTCTTACCATATGTAGCTTCAACAACGAGAATATCCACATCGCATTTTGGAATTTCTGCAGCTCTTAAATGTCTATCTTCTTCTCTTGAGTAATCTCCTGTATATAGGATTCTGACTCCTTCGATCTCAACAAGGAACATAGCTGCACCAAGGACATGACCTGCGTTGTAAGCTTGGAACTTGACTCCATCATATTCCATTTCTTCATGGAACCTGATTGGAATAATCTGGTCCATTGAGTAATTAAGGTCGCTTTCATCATACAAAATATCTACGTTCCCAACATTACTAATCTTTACATAATCTAGCAGGACATAGTTGTAGATCGCCTTAGTTGGGTGAGTCATGATAACCTTTCCTTTAAACCCAGTCCTTCTAAGGAAGTAAGGTAGTGCTCCACAGTGGTCAATATGGAAATGAGTCACCAGTAAAATATCAATCTCACTTGGATCAATGAAATCAAAGTAAGGCAAAGCATACACTCCATGGTAGGCTGGATGGATACCACAATCAAACTACAATATGAGGCTAAATTCTTACCAATATTTTTTTGTTTTTGTATGTAAGGAGGACTCAGCTTCTTCCTACTTCATTTCCAGCCCCGATAGGGGTAATCTCTAGGATATCTCCATTTATTTCTCTGATCATTAAATTATTAAATAGCAAGGCTAATTATACATCTTCAATGAACCAACCTCCCCCAGGGGTTTTGGGGTTTTGGGGTTTTGGGGTTTTGGGG